CTGGGGAAAGGAGAAGAAAGCCAGAGAGTTGGCAGTGGGAGAATGGGAATGATGTGACATGAGGTTGAAGGGAAATTTGGGCATTGTGAGAAATTTAGGAACTTATCCTAGCAGAAACGGGACACCACTGAAAGGCTCCTCCCTTGTCCCCAACCTGTATATCAATCTATATTCCTAACTTGCTAGCCCTCCAACATCTTGACATTCTTAGCCTTGATTCTTTAGAGATACTACTTTATTCCGGCTGTGTTCCCATTACTCTGGTTTTGCTTTTTCAACTTCACTTTTCTCTGTCTGCTCCTTTTCTTTTTTTTTTTGAGAGGAAATTTCGCTCTTGTTGCCCAGGCTGGAGTGCAATGACGTGATTTCGACTCAATGCAACCTCCACCCCCAATGGGGTTCAAGCCATTCTCCTGCCTCAGCCTCCTGAGTGGCTGGGATAATAGGCACCTGCCACCATACTCGGCTAATGTCTGTCTGCTTCTTAACTATTGCTTTCCACTCTCTCCCTGAGTGATCTCACCCTGTTGCATGGTTTCAGCTATCACCCTCCAAAAATTTCCCCCAGGTTACAGTTGCCTTTTTTCATCTGCTTACAAAATAAATAATGCACAATTTTGGTCACATGAATATATATGTGGTCTGACTAAGCCCCGTTTTGTAACTCTATAGGTAACTGCTTTTTAGAGGATGTTTCCAAACTGGCATCATTCTAGCTCATAAGACAAATTTGCTACAGGGCAGAGGGAAATGTGTCACCTCTGAAGAGGTGTGAACACTGACTGGTGGGGTGCTGTCAGCAAGGCCTCCCTACTCACCCCTGGAAACAACTGACAGACAGCCTGCCCTTGTGTGCTCTCCTGATTTATAAAACACATGCTTTGAATTTGCTGAGGTTTCCGCTCACCTTTTCTGAGGCACCCAGACTCAAGGCTTCAGTTGCCCTCTGCTTACTTCCATGTGGGCATAGAGCATTGCGCCAGCTGAGATGGCATGGAAGGAAACCAACAAATTAATGCATTTGAAGGTCACTGTGGCGATGTCAGAAAATCAGACTGCAGTGAACAGCTTGGTGGGTTTGATTCTCAGGCAGGGATGCTTCTAAGGTGTCTACTGTGGAAGATAAAGAGAAGGAATAGAGAAAGAAAAGGAGAAAGAGAAGAAAAGAGGCAGGGAGAAAAACATGCCAAAAAATATTTGCTAAACACTGTGCGATTTACTTTCACGGTTGTAGTTTATTTGATCCTCACAGACAGCCTGGCAAGCTATGTTTTTGTTTTGTTTTGTTTTTGGGTTTTTTTTGTTGTTGTTGTTGTTGTTGTTTTTGAGATGGAATCTTGCTCTGTTACCCAGGCTGGAGTGCAATGGCTTGATCTCGGCTCACTGCAATCTCCTCCTCCCGGGTTCAAGTGATTCTACTGTCTCAGCCTCCCATGTAGCTGGGATTACAGGTGCCCACCACTGTGCCTGGCTAATTTTTATATTTTAGTAGAGATGGGGTTTCACTGAGTTGCCCAGGCTGGTCTTGAACTCCTGAGCTCAGGCAATCTACCCACCTCAGCCTCCCAAAGTGCTAGGATTATAAGCATGAGCCACTGCACCCAGCCTGTGGTAGGTATTTTTTATATTTTAATTTGTATAGTCTAAGAACCATGAAACAGGTCTCCTGAACTAAAAAAATAAAACTCATAATTTGTTCAACAAGTTGAGAATCACTCATTTTTGCTTTCTTTTGAATTTGATGTTCTTTCAACTATACGACAAAGCCTTCATCATTGCTTTGATGAATTAGCCAGAACTTTTGAGTCATTCTGGGTTCTGTCACTCTCATGAGGACTCAGCTTCCATTGAGTCCTCTGTGCTTTTTTCTTTGCACAACTTGTCCTGAACCTGTAAGTTTAAGTTGAATCAACACAGCCAGAAACCCAAACCAAATAGCTGAGAGCAAATATGTGTAAGCCTGGGACCCATCAGCTTAACAGAGACAGTCTCCTCTGTCCTATCCCCTAAATTCCTCCCATTTTATTACAATTCTCTTTTCTTTCTAGTCTAGATTTCTCAACCTGATTTGGCTCAGCTCACATTCTCGGACATGTGAGCTGATTTTTACAGGCTTTAACTCAATACTAACTAAAGATTTGCCTCCTGGGCCACACTTTGATCTTCCTGGACTTACTTCAGGTCCTTGAATGCTTTATGACCCTACCTGAAAGCAAAATTCTCATACTTGTCTACCTGGCTGGCACTCAGATGCTCCAACGTTGAAACCCTCTAGGGCGGGGGAGAGTTCAGAGAGGACAAGGGGAGGAGAATCCAATTACAGAACAGCTTTTGGGTACTCCAGCACTGGCTCTCATAAGCAGATTGTACTTACCCTCTAGCAGGAATGTTATATTGAGAATTTGAAGGGAAGTTTGTCTAGCAAGAACTACCTGCTCTAGTCATCATTAATGGTCTATATTGGCAAGCAGTCATTCCACCAAATTCTGGCATGTAGGGCAAATTCCTTTCTGTTCAACTCAATAAGTCATTCTTTCGTGGGGGGACTCCAAAAGGTTTTGTTCAAACCTACATTAGCATCCAGTAATCACTCCCCAACAGTAAGTTTCTGTGATGAGTCATTCCAATAAACGTACCTGTACTTGTGGATTTTTTCCCCATAGTACCCAGAATTTTGCCGCCATTACCCATGAACTGTGAATTCTTGGAGAGGTTTACGTTTTCATAATCACATCCAGTCGTGACTTCCAAACATTGCCGAATCATTCTCTGCTCCATGCTTGCTGTTATTTCTTATTATTCACATCTTGGCACTGATGGAACACAGCTCCAACCCCTTTCTATTAATTTTACAAAGAAATGAATTACTTAAAATCTTTACTGCAGTTTTAGGCAGATAGAAGGAGCTTATAGTCAGCACGGGATGCAGCATAAGACTGGACAGAAATATTTCTTAAGATTCTCATGGAAATTGTCTGCACATGGCTTGGCCGCCTCTTTCAAAAAATCTCTCTCTCTTTTTTTTTTTATATTATACTTTAAGTTCTGGAGTATATGTGCAGATCTTGCAGGATTGTTGCATAGGTACACACATGCCATGGTGGTTTGCTGCCACCATCCCCCGTCATCTACATCAGGCATTTCTCCCAATGTTATTCCTCCCCAACCTCCCCACCTCCCACTATTCCTCCTCTAGCTCCCACCCCACAACAGACCCCAGTGTGTGATGTTCCCCTTCCTGTGTCCATGTGTTCTCATCATTCAACTCCCACATATGAGTGAGAACATGTTGTGTTTGGTTTTCTGTTCTTGGGTCTGTTTCCTGAGAATGATGGTTTCCAGCTTTATCTATGTCCCTGCAAAGGACATGAACTCACCCTTTTTTACGGCTGCATAGTATTCCATGGCATACATGTGCTATATTTTCTTTGCCCAGTCTATCATTGGTGGGCATTTGGGTTGGTTCCAAGTCTTTGTTATTGCGAACAGTGCTGTAAACATACTTGTGCATGTGTTTTTATAATAGAATGATTATAATCCTTTGGGTATATACCCAGTAATGGGATTGCTGGGCCAAATGGTATTTCTAGTTCAAGATCCTTGAGGAATCACCACACTGTCTTCCACAATGGTTGAACTCATTTACACTCCCACCAACAGTGTAAAAGCATTCCTATTTCTCCAGATCCTCTCCAGCATCTGTTGTCTCCTGAACAGATGGGTGAAGCAGCCTGAAGCAAGTCAAGGTGCCACTGCCTAGGGCCCAGCTCAGAGGTTACCAGGGAGGCCCGGGTCTGGTTCCCTGGGGCTCATAGCACCCTGTTACCTGGATCTGCACATGGGGGTGCCTTTCTGCATCTTGCCATCAGGTAAGTGCTCCTCCAAGCCTCCTCCTGCCAGCCTGGAGACAGTGGCCTGAACCACACCCCTACTGCATGCCAGCAGAGCCCTCCAGACCAGAAGCCGCACAGCGGTTAGCCCTGGCTTGGACACTGGGCCTGGGGCACCAGAGCGGGAGCTGGCCACCCAGCTCCAATCCTGTGGCTCCAGAGTGCCCCGTCGCCAATAGCCATGTGTTCTGGGTGCAGACGGGTGGCAAAAGAGCCTGAGGCAGGGTCTGGGCTCGGTGGGCTGCTTGTGCTCCCGATTTTGAGGCCATTTGCAGCAAGCTCCCGCAGCCCGAGCTCCAAGCTGCAGCCGCCGCCACCTGCACCAGCACCGCCCAGGTTGTCTTGGGGGCTTTCTTCAGAGGAGGCTGTCAGCATCCTCAAGTTGCAGGCGCTCTAGCCCCAGCACTGCTCCAAGAGGCTTTTTCTCAGCAGCGGCCTTCTCTTCTCAATGGCCTGAAACCTCCATCGATTCCCACGAAGTTTACCGGGAACACAAGGCTGTCACTAACATTGATGGCGCCAGGACTTGCGCGCGTGGGTTGCACACGTCGGTCACTGAGCCACGTGCAGTGACGCCACCTGAGGCGCACACGCCGCACGCTGTGGCTTGCATGTAGAGGCTTGGCCACGCCGCACGCCGCACGCGCGCGCCGCACGCGCGCGCCGCTCGCTGTGGCTTGCCTGTAGAGGCTTGGCCTCGCGCAGCCGCAGGTGCATAACGGCTTGGCTCGCCTGCAGCGGCTTGGCTTGGCTTTGGCGTTCCTGGCTCAGCGCGGTGTTCCTCGCTTGGCTTAGTGTTCCTAGCATTGATTGACGTTTCCTCCCTCGCATTCCTTTGCTGGGCTTGACCTTTTCTCTGCTAAGCTTGGCATTCCCCTGGCGGGGCTGGGTGTTTCCTTGGGTTGGAGTGGGCTCTCCCTGGGTGGGCGTGGGCTTTCCCTGGGTGGGCTGGGCTGGGCTGGGCTCCCCTCCTGGGGTTGGCAGGTTTGGGCTGGGATTGACCTTTCTCTTCAAACAGATTGGAAACCCGGAGTTTCCTGCTAGTTGGTCAAGCTGGTTCGTAGAGGCGATCTGCCCGCTACTACTGGCCTCCCCGGCTGTTAAACGCAGATGGTGGCTGAAGTTTTTTCAAAGCCGGCTGCCTCCGATATGAAGAAGCCCCTTGCCCTCAGGAGCAAGATGGGCAAATGGTGCTGCCACTCCTTCCCCTGCTGCAAGGGGAGCAAGAGCAATGTGGGCACTTGGGCAGACTATGACGACAGTGCCTTCGAGGAGCCAAGGTACCAGGTCCGTCGAGAAGACCTGGGCAAGCTCCACAGAGCCGCCTGGTGGGGTAAAGTCCCCAGAGCCGATCTCATCGTCATGCTCAGGAGCACTGATGTGAACCAGACGGACAAGGAAAAGAGGTAACTGGGCCTCGCTGAGAGGAGGTGGGATGGTGTGGATGTGCCCTACTGGTGTGGGGGCGGTGGCGGGGTGCCTGGCTTTATCGTCTCTGCAGGCCCCACACCACCCTGGGTGTGGAAACCTCAGAGGGGTCAGGGCACAGGCCTCTTTATGAGCAGCAACACGAAAACAAAACTTTAACTGATTTCCAATCAAATTATAATTTCCCTCATAGAACACTAATAGACTGTCTTAAAGTGATGTAACTCGCAAAATTAAATCGTTGCAGCAGATTATTTTTAAGGTACACATTTTAGAACAATGTTATATACGTTATAGAAAGGTATATATTGAGAACTAAGTCCCATAGTATATCAACTTGTGGCTAAATATTCTTCAAATAAATTTCAATATGCGTTTCATATCAATGTATCCTGTGTAAATATGTTATTTACTGAGAAACCTTAGAAGGAAAATAAATGGGAAGATGGTTTTTGTCTTTGAATAGGAAGACTCATTTCTCTTAAGATATGAGCTCTTTCTGTGTTTATCACTTGTACCTAAGCCAAATGAAAATAGCAAAGTTTTAGCGTTTTTAAATTAGGCATGCTGTCTGTTATTGTGATAAATTAATTTTTTTGTAGCAGAATAGAAAAAGATTTGCTTTTCCAGATGCCAAAATTTGCATGTGCTATTTCCACCAATTGTTTACTAACACCTGAAAAGACATAAATAAGCAGAACAGAGTAGGAATCCAGAAATACCCAAATGTATGTAAGAATTTAGCCCTTGATAATAGTGATGTTTTATATTAGTAAAAAATTATTCATAAGTGAAATGCATGCTGTTTGGAGAAACCTAGCTAGATTTTTATGTCAGATAAATAAATTCCTGGAGTATAGATTAAAAAACTTTAAGTACACAAAAGGCAAAGAGTACCAGAAAAAAAACCACAAATTGCCTATTTATATGTGCATTATATAAATGCCTACATATATATATGCATATATAAATATTTAGGTGAAGTCTTACTCCATCACCCAGGCTGGAGTACAGTGGTGTGATCTCGGCTCACTGCAATCTCTGTCTCCCAGGTTTAAGCAATTCTCTGCCTCAGCCTCTGGAGTAACTGAGATTACAGGTGCCCGTCACCATGCCTGGCTATTTGTTTTTGTATTTTTGGTAGAGATGGGTTTCATCATCTTGGCCAGGCTGGTCTTGAACTCGTGAACTTGTGATCCACCTGCCTTGGCCTCCCAAAGTGCTGAGATTATAGGTGTGAGCCACTGTGCCTGGCCTATATATGCAGATATATTTTTATGTTCACAATGACCTTCCTAAGAACCTCCCAAACAAGTATTCTGAAGGTTGGTTTGGCAAAATAAAAAAGAACACCTGTATATAAGAAAAAAATTGACAAAGGTCCAACATCCTTACAAAACATGTATTTTCATTTTACAGAGAATTCTTTCAAATCAACCA